TTACCAGCCTGGCTGTGGAAGCTGGACAAACATGTCCTGCAAGCTCAGGGGCCATTAGCTCAGCTGCAGCACTACATGGCGCAAGGTTGGCTTGTGCATGGACAGCTTAGGTGTCCGAGTCGGGTGTACCTTCTATTTCACAGCTATTTGTGTACAGGCAATGCTCAGAAATAGTGGGAGGAAGAAAGAAATAGGGGGGAAATAGAAGAGGGAGGGGTTTTGTACATTGGCTAAATGGAACTTTGGAGTGAGGACTTGGGATCAGATAAGGAATCGGATGCATCGAGCACTGGCGGGGGAAAGAATGGGAGCAGGGTTTGGCAAAGGGCAGCCCGAGGTATGACCCTCATTGCACCAGGTGCATCAGGCCCATCTCTCGTCTACTAAGAGTTATGAACCCAGCACAAAGTTTCAAACAGTTTTGGAGGTAGAACAGAATAGACACAGTCAGTATCCGTGAGGATCAAAAGTGCATCTGGAAAGGAAAACGTTATATTTAAATCTAAACAATTTGTGTTTGTTATCTTTGCAAAATAAACATTCTCATGTGTTTGACTTTTTCCCCTGCTTACAAAGCACGCTGGATGTTTGGTGAAGGATGGAGCAAGATCTTTCACCAGTCATTTGTGTGCAAAGCAACTAGCAGCAAGAATTCCTGCCTGAGGGTGTCCTGTCACATACTGTTAGTAAAAAATTGAATGAATATGGGTCAGAGTGAGTGCTGACATCTCAGGTCACTCACCTGAGAGCTAGCAGTCCTCTGGACCCGAGGCAGGGTATGTACAGGGGGGACTGGTGGCAAAAGGTGCGTTTCTTCTCCTTTACAGTAGGACACGGGACCTCTGCACTTGCACATCCCATGTGCTCCTACTGACCTGCTTGGTAGATGTTTGGTTTGAAGAAAGGACAGGGTTCTCGCAGCGTGTCTCTAGAAGATGCATCGTCTGTTTAATGCCTCTTGAACAAAACAACAAGTCTCCTGGTTGTCGTATGTGGGAACCGAGTGCAAATCTTCATCTTAAAGATTTTTGGTTAAGTCTTGACTTTTTCAGCCCCCAAGCTATTACGGATGTTAATGTTTCCTTTACAAATTTCCTTTATTTTTTGCTGAGTAATGCAAATTTCAGTGGTTCCAGTGTGTCTCCCCTCCTCCTCTACCTTTTCCATGACAATCTGAAATGAGGGTGGGGAGGAATGAGTGGGAAAAGGAAGAGGAAGGGATGCCCCAAAATCAAACTAAACACTTATGGAATGGGTTAGTGTGTGCATTGGGGAGGTTCATATATATCTCGAGACAACAAGGATGTGCTGACATGTATGTTGTCTAACTCTGGCTGTGACCCACAGTGCTTGAGCCTTTGGGACAGATGAGGTCTCCCACCCTGTGTGGTGGTTTGGTATTATCCTCCCTCAAGATAACTGTGACGTTTGGGTCTGTTTCTGTTTTATCTGCTCTCAGCATGTCATTTCACTGAGGTATTTCAGCTTTCTTTTCCCTTCCAGTGTTTGTCCCAAGCACAGGCACTGTGTGTACTTGCAGCCTGACAGTCCTGACCACTGCTCTGTGGTTGTGTCCGTGAAACAGTAAATCAACTGCACTGTGATAAATAGGAATGCTGCGTGGGATTCCCCTTCTTTAAATAACCCAGTCTCCTTTTGCACAAAAAAATGCCAAGAGCTGGACTATTAATATGAGGCAGATAAAGCCAAAAGCTGCCAAGGGCTCCTCTCCCTGCCTTGAGAAGTAGTGCTCTCCTCCAGGGGATGTCTATGCATTTGCTGATGAGCTTTTCCAGAACTCTCTGCTGTTCTTTCTGGGTCAAAGACACAGCTGGGCAGAAAGGTGAGTTTGTTCTCCACAGACTGCTTAGCCCTTTGTTCCTCTGAAGATGCTGGTAAAAGGTTATTTTCCCTGTTTCATCTCTCTTCTGAGTCACCTTGATGTAAGCAGAGCTGGTTACAGAGCCTGTGATGCCTGTTGCCTCTGGTGTGCTGCACAGTCCCAGAGCAAGGGCAGGCACTGGTGTTCCCCCAAGCCGCCACGGTTGGATACCCCTCGCTGCAAGGCTGCGCCGGTGTTCAAAGAATGTGATGAGCTTGGGTCCAGCACCGGCCAGTGATGGATAGCCAGCCAGCAGCGCCTGGCTTGGGCAAAGGGACATGTCACTGGCAGGGACTTCTGTGGTTGCTTTCCATCTGGCACATGCAGCCTTGCCTGGGGAGCACAGCACACGTGTCCCCAGTAGATGGGCTGCTCCTGCAGAGGAGATTGCACTCAGGGTATCATCAGAGCAAAATGTTTAAGGCTTATGGATGCTTACTTTGCCCCAGTGCTTATTCTCCAGCAGCCCCCTTGGAGTTCCTTCCAGAGAGAGGAGGCTGGGGCCAGGCAGAACGTGTGAGGCGAGGAAGAAGCAGATGTAAAAACTCAGTTTTGTGTGAATAGGAAGCCACCATGAGCACGCAGCCTTGCCAACCTGCTTGCTTTGGTCGTGTGCTACCCCAGTGCAGCCTCAGAGCCAAGTCTGCTCTCTGCCACGTGGATTTGTCCTGCTGCCCTCCTCGGTTCGAGCAGTGTGCATGACTTTGCAAGGACTTGCGCAGTGGCTTTCCCATCCTACTAATTGGGAGAATCAGCTCATTTACACAGGCAATGCTGGTGTGTGTGCATTCTGTCTCTGTGTGTTCACATTATGGTCAGCTCTGCCAGGGCTAACAGCCTATTCCACTCTCAAATGTGTTAGCAAGTGCTGCGACTCCATAGAGGGGATGGGGATCCCCCTGCCATCAGAGATGCATGAATCCTTGCCTGGAGGCTTGCATGTGTTTCATGTACACTTGGGGGGCAAAAGGGGGTTGCGTGTGGGTGTATCCTCCTGGCCCAAGAGCTGCAGTAGAAACCCGCAGAGATATTTGTGTGAATTTCCTTTTTCTTTCTTGCTTGCTTGCTTTTTTTTTTTGGTTGTCTTCTTCCTCTCTCCTGATTTACTGCATGTGCTCACGTGGCCTTGGAAAGGGGGGTTCTCAAACTCCTTTTGCTTCCAAAAGGAAAAGAAGCTGGCAGGCATTCATATTTCAGTTCTTGAGTTATGTAGGTTAAAGTCTCTCAGTGGGAAAACGGAAGATATGAGAGAGCAGATTGCTGGTGGTGATACTCGCTAGAAGGAAAACAAAAAAAAGGAGCACGTACTGCTAGGGCTACATCCAGACGAATGTGAGATTTGAGAGGTATGTTTTCTATCTGCTGTTAGAACATAATTTCCATTAATTTGATTCAATTTGTGATAAAATGCCTCATTGTTTCTTAAGTAATAGTAGGAATGACTAGTTTAGAAGCAGATTCTAAGCTACCAGTTGTTCATGTGCAGAGGAGGGAGTGTGTTTGTCAACGGAACCTTGTTCTCAGTAATGTCACTAAAATTAATTATGGTGCGGTCCCTCTATTAGGAGTAAGTTAGATACATAACGCTTTATGACTAGTTCTGAGATTTCAGCTTCTGTAGGTTAAAGTAAGGGGTTCAGGACATAAGAGTTAAGGGAGAAATGGGGCTCCAGATCCTCTCCTGAATCTTTGTCATCCCCAAACGAAAAGCTTTCCTCTGGTTTAAGACCTATTTGATTACAGAACGTGGGCTTGTGATCCAGTATTTGGGACTTTAAATACCAGCACTCTGCAGAAATGTGCATTAATATTCTATTGCATTTTCATTGCTGAGACAATATAATTAAGATTAAATTTTTGTCAGTGTATTCAAAGTAGCATATTGCATATTTTGCATTGAGCAAATGATAAGCTATGGTACAATAGAATGCTAATACAGAAAAATATGTTTGAAATTATCAGTTGCCTTCTGTTAAATGAGACATCAATACCCAACTCTGTTGTCTTGTCTTGGTCAAAATTTCTATTGTTTTTAGGGCCCCTTGAGAATTCTTAAATGCCTGACTGGTTCCATAAGAACTTAATTAAAAAGGAATCGTCTCTATCTATTATGTAAAATAAAATACTTGAGTATGAGATATTCTTTATTGACCATGAAATCTTAAAGTTTGAAAAATGCCCTGCTTAGAGTGCAGACACGAGCTGTTGAACTGGAACAAAGACAGACCTGTCAATTAACTCTCCTATTTTAGCTATTTTGTAGCTACTTTTTCCCCTACTGAAACCCAGTTCTGATCTTTCTAAATGGATGGCAAGTACTACTGTTAAATCCAATGCCTGCAAGGACTGAATACTTGACTGTCTGTTGCTTTTATCTACATTGAAAATATTTCTTTTACTCTTTTGATTAAAAGCTGTCATGAGGGCAGGAGATGCAGGTTTGCTTTGAGAAGGACTCTGCCAGTAAATGACATCTTGCAAAGACCCTTCAGTGTCTTTGCATCCACTCCTGTGAATTAAAAAAAAGTCAAAGTTTGCTTTCCTAATAGCCTTGTTAAAAGGCTGTTTTCACATCTGTGAAGTCCCAGGAGACACTCAGGTGTGAAGTACCTGATCCCTGCTGGCGAGTGCTGCCTTTCTACATTATTTTAATTGCACAGAGTGCTGGAAATAGTATGAGAAAGCCAAGAAAAAGATCCCGAGGATCTTCAGTGCTGCCTTTGGTCGCAGAAGTTCCCCAAGTATCTCCAGCTCCTGAGTCAATAATCTTTCTGCTCCTCTGGCCACAGAAAGCACCATCTGTAATCACAGATAAAACCCAGCTGCTCACTTCTCTGCCAGGCTAATTAAAAAGTGCGGTGACCTCCCTAGGGCTAATTGTGTCCTGTCAGTAGGATGGAGGAAAGGAGTGCAGCAGGGTTGCCTGGTATTTCAGCACTCAGCTTACTGACATAATTTTAAATGGTTTTTATTTTACTGTGACTGTGATTCCAGAGCTAAGACAGCTGCAGAGTGCATGTCTAACACACGGTTTCTGATCTGCAGGTGAGCGATGTGATAGAAAAGTGCTGCTAGCACATGAATTTCCTGCAGAACCTCCCTTTCCACCAGCACCAACATGCAGAGCAACTACTCCCTGATCATCACCACCAGAGAAACTCTCCAAGTCCTCTATACAACACTGACAAACTCATCGGCTGCATTGCGCTCGCCCCCTCCCTGCCCACTTACCTCTTCAGATTATCAGTTTTCACTAATTCCAGCACTCTTCTCTGTGGTTTTTGTTTTGGGGTTGGTGGGCAACAGTGTGGTGGTTGTGGTGCTTTGTCGTCACAGTGGCCCCAGAACAGTTGCTAATATCTACATTTTCAACCTCGCCATGGCGGATTTGCTGTGCCTCGCCACCCTTCCCTTCTGGGCTACCTACTATGCGCAGGGGTACAACTGGCTCTTTGGGTCTCTCATGTGCAAAATCTCCAGTTCCGTCCTGTGCTTGAACATGTTTGCAAGTATATTTTTCATTACATGCATGAGCATGGATCGGTACCACGCTATTGTCCATCCTATTCGCTCTCAAAGAAGAACTCCACAACAAGCTTATTTTATAGCATTGGTTGTGTGGGGCCTTGCCTGTTTGTCCTCCCTCCCAACTTTTTATTTCCGTGACACTCACTACATTGAAAGCTTGGGGGTCAATGCTTGCATTATGGCCTTTCCTCATGAGAATTATGCAAAATGGTCTGTGGCAACAGCCTTCCTGAAAAATGCACTCGGCTTCTTCATCCCCTTGACAGTGATCACCACGTGCTACATCTGGATCAGGAGGCACTTGCTCAAAGCACAGGAGTTTGGGAAAAACAAGCAGAAGAGGGACAAAGTCCTAAAGCTGGTGGCTGCTGTTGTTATGGCCTTCTTAATTTGCTGGCTCCCATTCCACATTTTAACGTTTTTGGATGCCTTGGCTCATATGAACGTCATTAACAACTGTGATGTGACAGGGATCATCGACACAGCGCTGCCATTCGGCATCTGCATGGCATTTGCCAACAGCTGCATCAACCCTTTGCTGTACTGCTTTATTGGGAACCAGTTCCAGGAGAAGCTCCATCGCTTGTTTAAGAGAAGAGTTTATCAGTTCAACAGCCATCAAGAGAGCTCTTCTTTGAGGAAAGGAAGCTGCTTCAGAGATGCTGAGACCGCCGTGGGCAGGGAAGAGGGGCCCGAGTCCTTGCTGTAAGCACTGGGGCATGATGTGGGGCAATGTCAGTGCAGCTGACTGTCCCTGCAGTGGTGACACTCCTCTCTCCTGTTCCCTTCATTTTGTGCCCATTCATTCACCAGCTGTTTGAAGGAGAATCCGTTTTTCTCATACATGGGGATTTATTCTTCCTTCCTTTCCACAATGAGCACTCAAGTTTTACATAGAGGGAAGATTCTGGCAAATAAATATATTGATGGCATTTTAAGTATCAGTTTGTGAATGGCTGAGATCAGGAGAATGTTTAGTGTAACACAAAAAGACAAAATATACCAAAGGACCATTGCTACAACGATAGCTACAGTTGTGTAGGTGCTAAGTATTATACCCTGATTTTCTAAAAGAGATTCTCCCTAGAGAATGTGTAAATAAAGCAGTGCAGATACTCCTGTACCTATCTGTAAGAAAGTATTTTGACCTCTATTTTATATATATATCTTTTTTTTTTTTTTAAATATATGTCTAGAGATGTCATATGTAAAATGCATACAATATACCTCCAGCTTGCTTAGGCCTGGGATCCTGAGAACAGGTGGAGACACGGTTCTGCAAACTGCTGGAGGCAGGAGAGTATTCTTGGGGGAAAGTACAACCACATGCATGTTTTATATCTTTCTCAGGTAACAGGTTCACAGGCCAGATGGTCCTTTGCTTTGATTCAGCGTGGCCACTTTTGACAGTAATGCCCCTGGAACCGAACATGCTACGTCCCACTGCTATGTGACATGCTGAGTCCCACGCACTGTCCAGCAGCTTTTGGGGAAAGGACTTGCTGATTGTCTAGACTTTTTGCATTTTAAATGTCGATTACTACTGTAATTTTGGGGTACTGTGTACAGAAAGCCTAAGTGACTCTATCTTGACACCCAGAAGCAAAACCATGGTGTGACTCCTAAGACTTACCCACATCTCAGTATGGGAGTTTACTCCTTTGTAAATAAAAGAAAAAGGAGAAAAAAAGTATTTGGCAAATATTGATTCTACTTTGAGGTCGGTTTTGATGATTATTTGAAATTTTCTTTTGCTGGAGAGATACTGGTCCTTTCGGACCCTTCAGAAAGGATGATGTTTGATAAGTTCAATCTAAAAGAGGGATCTGTTAGCACCTTGCTCATTTGCCAGCATGTTGTCCCCAGGCTGGGTGACCCAGGGTGACCGAAAGATTGTTGGCTTCAGGGAGTTCTCTCTGACAAGTTACTCTTGAGGCTTGCATTAACAGTTTTGGGTCCATGGGTCAGAAATTAAACCTGCCGGCTGGGTAACCAGGACTCTGGCCTCCTGGGAAGTCCCAACACTGCCTGGTGCCTGGAAACCATGGGAGCCTGGTGCAGGAGCCATCCTTCACTGTTAGGGTAAGGGTAAGTTTCTTCACCGGTGCCTGTGAAAATGGAATTATGCAAGAAATGTGCCAGTCTCAGAGTGATGCGAGATGAAAAGTTTATGCAGAACTTGGCAAAACAGGGGCTTCACCACAAATAACCCCTTCTCCCTGTCCTGGTCTGGTGTTCTGTAGTGGGGTATGTAGCTGGAAAGATGCTTGTCCCAGAAAATGGAAGAGCTGCTAATGCGTCTCCCCTGGAATGTTTTTGTTGAAAATGTTCCGAGGAGTTAATAGTGTCTGGGGCGTCAGATATTTCTGGAAGGACAAACTTTTAATTGCTTAGCAATGAGCACAACAATGCAGTCATGCTACAGCAAAAGAAATCATCATACTAAGAAAATTACCAGGTGTTCAAAGTGGCAGGCTCGGAGGAGTAATAAGAGGTTGTGGAGGCTTTTTACCTTTGCTGCAATACAGGTCAGTAATGAACACAACTGTGCCATTAATTTGCAACTTTGTAGTCTCAAAATAAAAGCTAAACTACACCATCTGACCCCAGGGATACCTGTGCTTCAGCTGTTCCCAACCTGAGCATAAGCACAGACTGCATGTTTTCTACATGTCAGTTTGGACCTGCTCAAAAAGAACAGTTTTTAACAAGTATCATGCCTTCTGCCTGATATGCAGACCTATGCAGATAGGGAAATACTACAGGAATCTGAAATCCAGCTCCAGTTGCATTTACGCCTGTGAGAGGCTATAGAAAATGAGGACAAATCTTTCCGGAGGACAGAGCAGCAATGCAGCATCTCCCACTGCTGCAGCTGGAGGGCAGGGATTAATGACCGCTTGCTGGGGCTGAGGCAGCTGCACTCTCCCAGAAACAGGGAAACAAAAAAAGAGTATTAAATGGGAGGCAAAACTGAGAGGGGAGGAAAATTCCTTCTTTCAAAATGCAATTTCAAAAGAAGTCTACCCTGAAGGTCATATTCTGCAAGAGTGATAAACCAAGTGACCCCGTGAGCTCGGCAGTGTGACATTTCTGTTTGCCAGATCTGTCTTGTACCTCAATAGGTCATGAATTTGAGTAACGTGGTTAAAAAAACATCCAAAAAGCTCTGTCTGGAGAGGAACCTGAGATGGAAGTGGGGGAGGTGCTGTATCAAGGATTTTGCTTTATTTTTTAGAGCAAATTGAATAATGTTGAGTTCTATGAATTTCTTCCATCATGCCCAAGTTTCTCATGGGATTTTTAATGGAAAATGTGGGGGTTTTCACAGTTTGAGTGTGTTGTGTTTATTTTTTTAGGATTTTCCACAAAAGAATGCAGACAAAAATTTAAGTAGTTTTTTTCCCTTGCAAATTTAGAAGCTACTTTTTTCCTTTCAAGAGAACATTTTGCTGATATTTGCAAACAATTCTAATGGTTGTGCAGTGCTATACAGCCTTCCTCTGTCAGACCCCAATTCTCCCTCCCACCCTGGTCCTTTGCAAGCCCTGTGTTCCCTTAGCTGCTCCTAGAAAATGCAGACAGCCTGGCCAAGGCAGGAGCCCTGCAGCCCTTTGTCAGAGCGTGCAAACCAGGGAGCCCCGCTCAGGCCACCCTTGCCATCCCGCAGCCCCCTGCGCCTGCCCTGAGATTGTGCCCTAGAGAGATTCACGCAATTTTGGCAGGGACATTGGGAGTGTGTGTGGTTGCTCAGTGTCTTGCTCACTTTGCAATTATGGTGAGATGAATTTATGAGCAACAGCTGGATTTTGGCTGGGGCTGCACCTGCTCTGCCCTGCCGTGGTGCCGTCAATGTCAGCGGAGAGGAAAGCCCCCTGCGGAAGGGGTTGCGTTGTGATCTACCGGGTGGAAATGCTGATGGGTTTGGAGAAAGCTAAGAGCGGTAGCAGGGTTTCTTTGATGAGGAGAATGTCCTGGAGCATTTCTGGGCCTGTCAGTGGTCTTTCCCAAAGAAGGATGGAAGGGATGGTTTCCTACAAGGGTCGGTTAGTCTCTGTCGTATTTGCACAGCAAATCCTGTTTGTGGCTTCCTTTTCTAGCTGTGGTTGATTACTCTCAGCTTACATGAATTGCAGAAAGAGTCCCAGTCCGAACTAAGCATGCTGTGTGTGTCCCTGAGCTGACTTCAGTATATGAAGCAGAGAAAGTCACTAGCATTTATTAGCATAGACTAGTGCTGGGTAGTGAGCTAAATGTTTTGTTTATGCAAGATATACAATAAGAAATGTTTGGTACAGCATGTTCTCCCTGAGAAGTCAACACAGCCTGAGCCTGTGCTGGCACCCACTCAGCACACTTGTCCCGTTCCTCAGGCCAGATTTTGGGCAGGAATATCATCTTGCCACCCTGCAGCCGACTGCCACAACTCAGCTGGCTTTCACAATGCATCCCCTTGTCCTGGCTGAAGGGCAAGGGAATACCATGGAGCGAGTGAACTGCTCACGTTTCCCCATGAAAATGAAGACTTTTGGATACTTTATTTGAGTGGTCCTGGTAGGAATGCAGGAAACCTGAAGCGTGTGGATTGAGGTGGTCTGGCAGCCTTTCCTCCATGCTGGCAGACTTGCTGCTCTCGTCTCAAATCTCCTTCCGTTGGAGGAAAATGACTGCTGATGTTGGGAAGGACTGCTCCGTTCAGCAAGGTCCTGGGATGCGCCTTCCTCACGCCTGCCTGCGCGGGATCCAGCTGGGTGCAACAGAGAGGGGCTTGTTGCTCTGGCCCATGGGCTCTGCCGGGAAGGGTTTGTTAGTAACCTGTGGCTTTGTCTCACCAGATACCTGTCTACAGAAGGAGCCCAGGGCTGCTGTCTTCAACATCACATACCCTCTGGTCTGGGTACAGTGGTCAGCCGATAGCCTTGCTGTTTGGCAGAGCATCCAGTGAGGTACCTGGCTGAGAGCCAATGCTCCCCGGTTTGCTAGGTTTTATTAGAATCAAAAGAGGAAAAACATAAAAACCTGAGTAAAAATTGAGATTCATTTATGAAAAACAATGG